ATTTTTTCCATTGACCCTCACAACAAAGAAGTGTTAATGTGTGTCAAGGTGGTCATATGACCTGTCCAGCATCATAGAGCAAGGCAGTGGCACTATCAGGATTCTGACCCAGGCATGTCTCACTTCAATGCTAGAGTCAATTCCTGCTGGGCCAGTTCTTGGAAGGTTCTTATTAGCCTGTGAGAACAGTGTCAAGCTTCTGGCCATGAAGCAGAAGAGAAGGCCACAATTCTCACTCAGCCTAGCATGGGCTTGGACGTTAGGAGTAGGAGGAGCATGTTCTGAGGCCCTGGAATCCTCCAGACCAGACCTTGATGGTGCTTTGACAGTGTTGTCTGGTGTTTTGCTAGAACATACCTAGAGAAAACAATGCAAGAGACAGGCTCGCATGGTGGTCACTCCTATTGCAGCAGGACCAAGGATTGGGAACATCCATGCACGTTCATCTACTTCTTCAAGATGACGCCCTTGTTTGTAGAGCACACCAAGGGCATTGGAAGTGATCGGTGCTTCAGAGAAGGTAAATGCCACGTTGACTGACACTATTTGTACAGGCTCAGGACCAGTTCCTTCCAGCCCAAGGCCTGGGTTCCTTGAATCCACCCGCGGGAATCCTCTCCAGAAGTGTCTTCAAACTGTCTTTAGGTATACCTTATTCCATTCCCTTATGTGTCCCTTCCCTGGAAAACAGCAGCAAGGATCAGAGCCCCACTTTTTGTTGATCATCTAGGAAAAAAAAGAGTAGTTACTGAGAGAGAGAGGTGAACCATTCCAGGTAGAAAGTGCTACTTCTCCATCTCTCCCAGCAGAGCTACTGAGCCCACACTCTGATTCTGTTCACTCACCCTGTGTGAGCATGTGCACTGTGTTGTCAGATACATTTTAGTAAAATCATTGTGGTTTGAATGAACAGGAAGCTGTTTGTTTGGAAGGGAAGGATGACAGGTCTTTCATGAAATGCTCTCCCTCTCAGCCAGGCAAACACTCAGGAGGGAGGAGAATATGCATCAATGCTCCACTGAGCCTCAAATACAGTGATAAAGAAGTGGTTTCTTTAGTCCATCCACATCCCCAAGTCCCAGCCACAGGCATGGTGCTGAACCCTGGGACTCCCAAGGCACATGTTAGGGAAATCTGAAGGTTGCCTTCTTCTCAGAGTAGGTCCCCCCACACCAGCAACCCCGGCACCCACCGCCTGGGAACTGGTCTGAAGGGCAACTTCTAGGACCTCTACTCAGATCTACAGATGAAGAAGTCCAGGGGTGGGCCCAACAAGCTGTCCTATCAGACCTGCAGGTGATGCGGAGAATCACAGCCTTTTAGCATCTCACCTATGTTGGCTGTTGGTCTCTGGAATAATTTTCAACACATATTCATGCAAAAACTAAAGAGAAGTGTATGACTAGATTCTGGAGGGTCCCTTCACCTGAAATTCTGCTCTTCCTTCCTAAACCTTCTGTAGGAACATTTGCATTAGGGAAAACACAGAGGGTGCAGAGGCTACCATGACTCTTGCCAAAGCAGTTACCCAGCATTCACTGTCACTCAGCCGACTAAGCTGCTCACAACCCAGGTGGAGCTAGAAAGAGTCTGTACTGATGTACTGAGGCCTGCAGTGTCCACAGTGTTATGGATGAGACGAGACAAATTCACACAGACTACAGAAGTCCTGTGGGAAAAAAAGGGATGGCATGGCCGTTCTCTAAGTGAGAGAGGACCCCAACCCCTGCCTGGACAGGCTTTTATTGCTTTTCTGGTCACATTATATCAAGAATGGTCCTCATTTACTATGCACAGGTTCGCTTTAGACGGTTACCTCTATCAGTAAACAAAGGAGAGGATGTTGCTAATTATATCACAGAAGAAGGATATTTGCAAATGAAAAGGGAAAAGTGGTTGAACTGGTTACAGTCATCCTTGGGAGGTTTAGCACAGATTTTAGGAAGTTACTTTAAAGATATGCAGTAAACATTTGCTGCCTCAATTCAGGGTGAGGGAGTTTTAGCAAAAAGCAAGTCTCAAAGCAGCCTAGTTACAATGTGGGCCTGATTCCCCACGGGAAAAACCTATCTGTGGGCGTGGGTCCTGTGTGCTAGACCTCCCTTTCCAATCGCCTTTCCGAGTGGAAGCTGGGCTACATTTCCCATGACACAGAGCAGTCTCCTATACTGTTAGCCTACCTGAGGGAGACAGGAAAAGCCTCGTGGGGCAGGTCACAAGCTAGGGCCTAATAAGAAGTGTCAGATAGGCAAGGGGGTGGGCTGCAGTTAGGAGTGGGGCTGGCACACATGGATGGGTCCTACAGAAACAAGAGAGCCTACCTAGATGAACTCTTTCATGCAGCTTCACTCCGACCAGGAGGTGACCATTACCAATTCTATTCCTGGAATGTAGTAGGATAGTTACATGCACCATCGTGCTAATGGGGTGGTGGGGGACATGGAGATTCTGACCAGCAGTGACTTTTAAAGAGCAAAACAGTTTTTAATTTTGATTTTTTTCTTCTACTTTTATCCTCACCCAAGGACATGCTTACTGATTTTAGAGAGAGGGAAGGGGAGGGAGACAGAAGCATCAATGTGAGAAGCATTGATCAGTTGCCTCTACTACACCAGCTGGAGGTTGAACCCGAAACCTAGGTATGCGTTCTGAACAGGAATCAAACACATGACTTTTCTGTGTGTAGAATGACACTCCCACCAACTGGGCCACAAAGCCAGGGCTAGTTCATACTTCTTTGACATGTGCCAAACATAAAAACACAAAGATTTTGTCTTGTGTTCTTCTAGCAGTTTTCTCTTTCTAGCTTTTACATTTAGTCCTATGATCCATCATGAATTAAATCTGATACAAGTTCTGGCAGAAGTAATGCCCACATGAGTGTGGTTCATAGGGTGCATGAAAGCCTTGCCTGAGATGGACAGCAATTGGAACATTCCACTTAAAATGTCACATGGTGTGCTTGAGTGTGATGTTATGTTAGAGAATTACATGCTTACAATTTTGTAATAAAAAAGGGGAGTTTTTTGTGCCAAACCCTTTATATGGTGGAGCTGGAGACTTTTTTATAGCCATTGTTCCAGGACAATTTGTTGAAAACTTACCCTTCCTACACTAGATTGCCTTTCCACCTGTGTGAGAAGCCAAGTGACCATATGTACATAGTTCTGTTTGTGGACTCTAGTTCCTTGGACCTATTTGTCCATCTTTATATCAATGCTCTACTATCCGGACGGCTGTAGCTTGGAAGTGTTCAAGTCATGCCATGTTGCCCCTCCCAATTTGGTCTTGTTTTCAAAACTGTTTTTGGTTATTGTAGGTTCTTTGCAGTTAAATATAAATTTTGAAACCAGATTTTTCATAAACTAACCCCCCTGAAAAAAAGCCTATTTGGTCTTTGACTGACATTGCATTGTGTTAACTATAAATCCATTTGGAGGAAACGACATCTTAAGAGTGCTGCTTCCAACCCATGCACAGTATGTGTGCCGTTTAGGTCTTCATTAATTTTTTCTCAGCAGTGTTTTAGAGTTTCTGCTGCACAGGTCTTTCACATCTTTTATCAAGTTTATCCCTGAGAGTTTGATAATTTTGGACATTAATGTAAATTGCATTGTATAACTTCTGATTGTGCAAGATGAGTCTATAGAAACACAATTAATTCCTGTGTATTGATCTTATACCCTGCAACCATGCTGAACGTACTTCTTAAGCCTTTGGTAGACACTGTCGGATTTTCTACAAGTCATCTCTGAATGTAGTTTGAATTCCTCCTTTCTGGTGCCTTTTCCTTTTTGCCCCACTGCACCAGCTAGAACCCCCTGTAAACTCTTTGGAAGCAGTGACAGTGGACATCCTTGCGTGGGACCTGTTAGGACAAGTACACTCAGACACGTGATGTTTGCTGGAGATTTTCTTTTTGTAAATGTGCCTTAACAAACCAAGGAAATTCCCTTTAAATTCTAACTTGCTTAGAGCCCTTATCATAAATTAGTGATGAATTGTCAAATGCACCTTCAGCATCCATTAATCACGTATCAATATGGTGAGTCATATTCATACACTTTCAAGTACTAAACCTACACTTTTTTGATGAACTGTATTTGGTTAGAGTACATTATCCCTTTTCACATAGAATCATATGTTGGCTTGGATGTGCTAATATTTTATTTAAAAATTGTATGCCTAGGTTCATGAGGAATAGTTGTCCAGTTTTCCTTTCTTACAGTGCCTTTGGCTGGTCTGGAGATCACAATGCCAGCCTCATAGATGGAGTGGGAAGACACTCCTCTCGTTTCCTGGGAGGGGTACTGTAGGACTGACATTACTTCTTCCTTGGACAGATGATAACATTTGCCACTAGAGGGATTTAGGCCTAGAGTATTCTTTGTGAGATTTTAAACTACAAATTCAATTTCTTTCACAAACAGGGCCATTTAGGTTGTCTATTTCTTCTTGAGTGCACTAAGAGATTTTGTATCTTCCTGAGAATTTGTGTTCATTTTATCCAAATTTTCAAATTTATTGCCGTAAGTTGTTTATTTTTATAGAAACTGTAGTGGTGTTACTTCTGTCATTCTTGGCATTGGTCATTTCTTTCTCTTTTTCTCCTGATCTGTCTAGATAGAGGTATACGAATTGCTTTCGAGCTTCTCAAAGAACCAACTTTTGGTCTAATTAATTTTTTCTATTGCTTTTTCCTTTCCAGTATCATTGATTTCTACTCTCCCTTTGTTATTTCCCTTCTTCTGCTATTTTTATTTGCTCTTTTTAAGTAAAAACTGGGACACTGATTTGAACTGTTTTTCTTAACTTATCACCTAGTGCTGTAATTTTCCCTCTAAGTACTGCTTTCATTGTATCACAAGACGCAAGGCTAACACAAAAACCAACTGTATGTCTGTTTCTGCAATAGTATTAAGAAAATACTTAGCTCTAAATCCAACTTGGACAGGGTCTGTATGCTGACGCATGCAACACTGATGCAAGAAACCAAAAACTGAAATAAATGAAGTCACGCCATGTTCATGGTTTAGAAGATTCACCATCATAAATATGTGAATTTTCCCCAAAACTATCTATAGATTTAATGCAATTCCAGTTAAAATCCCAGCAGGGCTTTTGTATAGATAAGCTGATTCTAAAATGTATATAGGAAGGCAAAATTGATAGAAAAGCCAAAATAATTTAAAAGAATAAAATTGTAGGAATCACACTACCAGATTTTTAAGATTACACAAAAAGCTACAATAAGGTCAAAAAAGCTACAAGGTCGGAAAACCCTGACCATGTGGTATTGGTAAAAAGACTCACAGATCAATGGAAGAGAATTCAAAGTCAAGAAATAAGTCCATACTAAAATGGCTAATTGATTCTTGACAAAGATACAAGAAAAATTCAGTGGAAAAGAATCTTTTGAACAAGTAGTCCTGGAACAACTAGACATCCATCCACATGCTTCAAAAACATAAACCCCACACTTAAAAAAATGAACTCAAAACAGATCATAAATCTAAACTTAATGTTAAACTACAAAACATTTGGAAGAAAATCTTCAAGAATTGAGGCTAGACAAAGATATCTTAGACATGACACCAAAAGGCACAATTCATATTTTAAAAAATTGGTAAAGGGAACTTCAAAGAAAAATCGTCACTCTATGAAAAACCGTTAAGTGAGTGAAGAGACAGGCCACAGACTAGGAGAAAATCTTCCAAACCACATCACTGTCAACGGACTTGTATCCGTACCACATAGACTCTAAGTTCAACAGTAAGAAAACTACCCAGTTTAAAAATGAACCAAAAAATTTTAAAAAGAAAAAAAGGCGAAAAAAAAAAACAAAATTAAAATGAGCAGAATTGAACAGACACTACATCAAAGAAGATACACAGATGTCAAATAAGCACATGAAAAGATATTCACCATCATTCCATTAGGGAAATATAAATTAAAACCAAGGTGAGATTTCGCTACACATCTATTAAGATGGCTAAAATGAGAAATACTGACAATTCCAAGTGCTTGTGAAGACGCAGAACAACTAGAACTCTTTGCCAAGTAATGACTTTTTCTCAGACACACTATATAAATGTGCTTACAAGAAGTACCATTTTGACATTGTGACTTTAGGTAAAGATGCTCATCAATTGAGTCAACACAGGTTTCCAGGGACAGGACACAAGGGACAAACTTGAACTGTGCACCATTTTTGAGTGACGTGTAAAATGTTTTTGTTGGCATGGGTGGAATCTAGATTTCAGCCTACCATATGTTCACCATATCCTCATTTCTTTAAAGCACTCTTGAATTTAGCCTGTATTTTGTCCTAAAGTAGAAGTCGGAAACCTTTCCCTGTAAAGGGTCATAGGAAATACTTCCAGCTTTGCAGGCCTTATGGCCTCTGTTGCAACTACTTAACTCTGCACTCAGCAGAGCAGCCAATGGGCATCTGATCCTGTTGAATGGGTTTTAATAAAGTTATGCAGAAACTGGCTGTAGCTTGACTGGGCCCACTGACACAATCCAGGGGCCGGAGCAGCAGAGACCAAGGGGCTGGCAGCTTCCGGGCAGGACCAGGGCCAGCTTCCATTAGCACTGAGCATTTAGTTAGCAGCTGCCTGGTTTTACTGGAGAAACATCTCAACTGCTTGCAAGCATTTGCCCCAAGGTAGTTTGGAGAGACATCTCCTTTCTAACCATCCTTTTCTAATCCTGCTTAAGCAGCTCAACCCGTCACCATCTGCAGCAAGGGGCTGAGGGCCTGCCCTAATGGCAGAGCTGTGTCAAGAGCCCAGTTCTCCAGACCACTGAAGTCCCAGCCCCTTTACGAACAGGAAGCTCCCCAGAAAAACAGCAAGTATCTTCACCAGGCTGATCATGAGAGTAGCAGAAATGTTTCTTGGGGTCACCGGGGGATGGCATCATCATCTCTGCAGGTGGGGCCCAGGTAACCTTGAAGCACACCCCAGGTCAAAGCAATAGTGCCTTGCTCCTCCAGCCCGTCTGGTGGCCTGAGATACCCCACAGGGCCAGGGTCTAGGGCCTGCCAAGGCCCCTGGGCTTCACAAAAGCCACAGTAGGCTTGAAGGAATAGACTTTATTAACCCAGCTCTCAAACACTAGAAGCTAAAATTGTAACAACCCATCAGTATTTACAGAGTGCCACCTGTAGGCCAGGCAGGGCTGGGCCTGGCACTTCCCCAAACACCCACTGAGCAGGCCAGGGCCACTTCCTACCTGCAGCACACAGAGAACGTTTATGTTTATGTACATGTGACTAAAACCACAGCAACGGACTAGCATGCAGGAGGACACCAGACCAACAGAAAGATGGACAGACAGACACAGACAGGAGGCTGTGAGTGCCCAGGGGGCTAGCGGGCCTGCCTCAGCACTTCTTCAGGCTGTAGGTCAGGCTGCCAGGGACCCTGGTGCCCTGCAGGGGTGGCGAGTGCCAGACAGCAGAGCTGGTGCGCTTGTGGTAGCGAGGCTTGCTCTTCTTGAAGATGTCCTCCAGGTCCAGCTGGAGGATGGTCCCAAAGAGCTCGAGCACATTCGGGGGGTGATAGTACTGGTGGATGATGGCCTGGCTGAGCTGGGTGCCTGCAGGGGAACCGAGGGCCACATCACTGTCTTAAGGCTCCCTGTGAGCCCCACCCAGAGCCTTTGTCACCCTCTCCCTGCTGGCACGTCCCCACCTGCTGCCGTGCCAGCTCCTCTGAACTCTGCTCCTCCCACCCCACCAGCAAATACTGACAATGCTCTCACTGCACATTCCTACTGCCCCCACCTGGCAGCAGGGTCTGAACCGAGGTCCTCAGGAGCTCAGAGAGCTGGGCACTCAGCTGAGCCCACACAGCCTGTTCTCCTTATCCCCGCACCCACCTGGCAGCCAGGTTCTCTGTTCTCCCTGTTTTATATTGGTGAGATTTGCACAAAGGCACATAGCTAGGAACTGGCAGAGCTGGAGTTTTAAGCCAAGTTTAGCTCCAGAACTTAGGCCCATGATATGCCACCCTGGACTGCAGTGATCGGCTCTTTATCTCATCAGCCAGCCACACCCGCCCTGAGGCAGGGAGGACGGGGACAGAGAGGGCCTCTGGGCTGAGGCTGTGGGTGGCATGCCCCTGCCAACAGGGAGAATCGGGTGGAACGTACAGCCATCTTGCTCTGTACCAGGCCTTCCGTGTACTCACTTCATCCTCAATGACCCTTCTCAGCTGGGTCCTATTAGCATGCCCATTTCACAGATAAGAAAACTGAGCTGGCAAAGGTCAACTACAGTTAGGTGGCTTTGCCAGTCCCCTGGCTCCCTGGCCACGCTGACACCTCCCAGTGAGTTGATGCTGGTAGTTAAGGAGACTCATTCAGCGTCTGGTTGCTGCAGGCTTCAAATGAGGTAACACTCGTAAGAGCAAGTTATCTTCGGCAGAGCACTGGCCCCTGGGGAGCGAGACTACAGCCCACCCTGACCCCCGGTCCTGCGAACTCTGTGAGGCACCCACTGTATACTGGCCCCACTCCACTGCCCGCAGGCATCACACCCAGGCCTAGGGCCACAGGCACGCTCACCCCTGCTCCCAGCTAGATGCTGGGGGCCTGTAAATTTCAGGGTCAAATCTCACTCAAGGGCCCTGCTGCCACTGTAGGGCTTTCCTGCCTCCCCCAGCTGGCCGGAGCCCCCGGCCCGAGCTCTCAGTGCACTGCTAAGCCCCGGCATCCCTGAGCTCTGTTCCCACCCCAGGCTCCTCGTGTGGATCCAAGTCTCATCTGGCCTTCTGGGCAGGACTCCAAGGAGGGGCCACTGTCCCCTGAGCGCGTCCCAAGGCCCAGAGCCGGCCTGTCAGGCCGCCACACCAAGTGTCTAGCCCATGCATACGACAGCCTCCCAACCCCTGTGTGCTCCAAGCCACTCCCTCCAGGGACAAGCAAGGTCACAAGCAAGGTCACAAGCAAGGACCCAGGTGTCCAGGGAGCCCTGGACCCTGCTTACCTCTGGCCCAGGCAGGAATGGGCTTCCGGGGATGGGCCTCGTCATCAGTGGAGTCGTCGCTATTCAGATCCATCCCGTAGTTATCCGGGTTGATCTTGGGGGGGCCCCTGGGCCCCTGTGGCGTCATTTGATATGAGGTACAAGCTGGAGACTGGAAAGGGTAAGGCGTCAGCTGCCCCTCCCCGCATTCCTGCCTCTGCTGCTGCCAAGCATTGGGGGCTCAGGCCACCTCCCCTCACTTCACAGGAAAAATCAAAAGGCTTGGTTGGGTCCCTTAAAAAAGTCACACCACGCACACAACTCCATATTTTCCTTTCTCATGTCACACTCGGTCGCAAACACATGCCCAGGTCAGCAGCCTGCTGTGAACAGCGACCTGGAACGCCACCACGAACCCCATCGTTCTCAACGTGAACATCGCTGGACGTGGACGTCCAGCTACCTCCCAACTTCCCCACAACTCCACCCACGCTGCACCGCAAACCCTTCCACACGGGACATTCTCTTCATAGAGCAGTAAACTGCAAGTCACCGAAACGCGTGTCCACAGGCACTGGCTAAGGAAATTCTGGAACTAGCTGGTACACAACTGCCAAAATTGGGAGGTTCACAAGTGCTGAAATAGATAACTGTCTACAATGTACTAAAAGAAAGGAGGAGGGCCCTGGCTGGTGTAGCTCAGTGGATTGAGTGCGGGCCTGCGAACCAGACAATCGCGGTTTGATTCCCAGTCAGGGCACATGCCTGGGTTGCAGACCAGTTCCCTACAGGCCAGTTCCCAGCAGGGGATGCACAAAAGGCAACCATACATTGATGTTTCTCTCCCTCTCTCCTTCCCTTCCCCTCTAAAGATAAATAAATAAAATATTTAAAAAAAAAAAAAAAAAAAAGAAAGGAGGAGGATGAGCTGCCAAGTGCTGTGTATATTACGGAGTCAAGGTGTGTCCCACACATTCCTGTGTTTCTTCCCACCCTTCAACACCACGGTGTCAGGAGGCGGGCCTTTGGGAGGTGCTCAGGTCAGAGGGCAGAGCCCTCCTGAACGGGATCAGTGTCCTTAAAAAGGACACCCCAGAGAGCTCCATCTCCCCTTCCACCGGGTGAGGACACAGCGAGAAGACAGCTGTATGTGAACCAGGGAAAGGGCTCCCAAAAGACATCAAATCTGCTGGCACCTTGACCTCGCAGTTGCCAGTCTTGGATAGTTTGCTTACGCCACCTAGTCGATGGCACTTTGTTAAAGCAGCCTGAACAGACGAGGACAGTAAGTGCAGGCTGCGTCCACCTATACTCTCCGTGTGCAAAATGTTTACATGTGTAAAAATATACATATATACACCAGAATTTTCATCTGAGGTACCTTTCACTTTATACCCCTTTATAAAGTTTAGGTTCTTTTTTTTGTTTGTTTATAACAAATTCTATTTTGAGAATAAGAAAGAATATACCTATGAAAATCAGTAAAAACTACTAGGCCAACTGTATCCTTCCTTCTTCTTATGGTCCCTGGATATGATGTGCACCTCCAGGTGCAGGAAGAGAATAAGCAGCGCTGGGGCCGCTCTCTGCTCTGGTGCCCAAGCCTCACCTGCACGTCCATGGTTGTGTTCAGGCCTCTGCTGGCCGCTGCAGCCTCCTTGGCTTTCTTCTCCTGCTCTTCCTGTAGGCGCCGCTGCTCTTCCTGGGACCAGCAGCCAGCAGGTGTTAGAGACCACGGGAACATGCTCTCCCCAACCCCAGGCCAACCCCACACAGCCAGGCAAACAAGGCGGCCCCTGCCCCAGGAGCCACTAGGTTAGGGCTCCCTGATCCCAAAGTCCTGCACACCAACTCCCGTACCTTTTTCTTCTTCTCCTCCAGTTCCCTCTGTAGCTTCTCCTTCTGGAGCCGCAGGGCCTTCTCCCTCTCCTGCAGCTCCCTGGAAACCAAGCAAGACCCTGTCAGGGCAGGAAGCTGAGCCCTGGCTCTGTTCCCATCCCTCGCAGGCCCACCCACACTGGCCGTAGAACACGGAATGGCAGAACAGGCACAGCAGCCAAGAGCCCAGAGCAGCACCTATGCCAAAAGGGCTGGCAAGTTCTCATCCAGGGTGCAGGGGCACTCAGCTTTAGAGCGTGCCGAATTTGGCCCCCATGCTTCCACACAACTTAGGTCTCAGCTCCAGTCTTTTCTGTTATACAGTGACGACCGTAACTGCTCTCCTCCAGAGTGACCAGGACAGTCAGAGGGGATAGGCCGAGTTATCCCCTCTATGGCCTGCAGGGTAGACACTGGGCTCCAAGCCTGGCGTGGGCTTTGGGGCCACCGCCACTAACTAGCTTGTGACTTGAGCAAGTCATGTAACCTCCCGGCCGGTTTCCTCTCTGGGAAGTGGGGCTGCCGGTTCCTACGCCGCAGGGGCCTTCAGTGAGGATTCACGGAGGCAGCGTGTGAAGCGTGTAGCTCAGGACCCACCAAAGCTGCCGACCATTAGGACCATCACACCGTCACCCCCTCCAAGCGCATGGCATTGCCTGGCACACATGCGATTCACACATCTGTCACCCACCCACCCTCTGTCCCCCGCCCAGACCCCTGTCTCCGACTCTGCCACAAAACAAGGACAGCTTTGTGCCCATCAAGAAGCACAGAGGGATGGCCCTGATGCAGTCAGCCCTCCGACTTCCGCTCCCCCCTTTCCACTGGGCCAGCAGCCACCCAAAGATGGACACGGGAGGTGCTGCCTTCTGCTCCCCAGGAGGTGGAGGTGGCAGAGAGGCAGTCACCAGGCGGGTGCTTGGGTGTTCCCACCTGTCCTTACACACACCTGGGCACAGTTCTCCACATCTGCACACACGTGGGTTCATATAGGCATGGACCCCAACCATCCTGCCCAACAGTGACTGGGGCTTGTCCTCCCTGGCATGCCCAGGACCCCACCAAACCAAGCTGAGGGTGAGCCCCAGATAAAGATTCAGAGAACTCAACATGGAGATCCTGCCTGCTGCACAGAGGCCCCTGACTCTGAGAACTGCAAGACCAGAAATGCTGGGATGTGAGGTGGGGGTGAGGATCTGCATCCTCATCAGCACAGAGGAGGCACATTTAGTGGGCAGGGGCCAAGGACACTGACAGTCCCGCAGTGCTCCGAAGAACTCCTGTATAAGGCCCATGCAGGCCCTGGTGAGAAATACTGGCTAACCCCACAGCGGCACGCCCCCATCCCTGCCCTGTCGGCAGAGGACACAGAGGACCAAAGGGGGCACCACACCGGATGGAGGCAGAACTGAGAGTCCCAGGTGACCTGGCCCATCGTATCTTCGCCCTCCCCAGGCCAGCACGCCACATTCGGGTGTGGGCCTCTGCTGGGGGTCTGGGTTTGGAGCCAAGGAGGTGTGTCCCTCCTTTGCAAACACCAAGCGAAAGTGGGAGCTGCTTCTAGAGGACGGCTGCACCTCTCCAGCCCTCGGGGCTCCCTCACCGCTCGGCCTGGAGCCGCTCCTGCTCCCGCTGCTCTGCCAGCCTCTTGGCCTCTGCTGCCTTTCGCAGCCGCTCCTGCTCCTCCTCCTTTTTCTTTTGCAGCAGCTCCTGGTGTCGCCGCTCTTCCTCCTCCTGTGAACACAGAGCGAGGTCAGGGCCTCAGATCAGGCCGGGGCTGGGGGATGGCAGGAGGCTGCTCCCTCTGTGCAGCCCAGGCCCCCTGAAGCATCAGAGACTATCAGGGGCTGAGCCAGGGTCACCCTACACCAGGTGCCACAGAATCACCACCACCTGCCTGAAAAGGCATCTTGTGACAACTTCTTAGGGTACGGACTGAACCCAAATGCACTTGCAGTGTGACACTGTGCTGCCACTCAGCCCTCTGGCCTTGGTTTCCTCATGGAGCAAATGGGAGCAACGGTAACACCTAACATACTTGGAACTGTGCCTGGCACACAGTAAACACTAAGTGAAGTTTAGCCATTAACAGCACAAGCCCCCGAGACAGACGCGTGCTCCCTGAGCCGGAAGATCGACGGCTCCGAGGGAGAGGCAGGCCCTCCCTCGTGGAGGCAGAACTGCTCCCCCCTGCGACAGCCCAGTCAGGTGGACTCTGCCGCCACCTGGAGGACCCAAAGCACTGAGAGGTCCAGTAACCTGTCCAAGGTCACGCAGCCAATAACAAGCAGAGCTGAGAGTGGAAGTCAGGGCTGAGAGCGAGTCCGTGTGTGTAACCCTCTGGCAAAACGGAGAGCAGGTCACTGTCACCATCCCCACCTCCAAGGCACTTGTTGAAACTCCTCAGGGCTTGAAGCCACAAGGTCCACCAGGATGAACCCAACAAAGCGGGGTCTGCTCGGCAGTGGCTGGGGCAGCCTGTCCCGCCCCCCTGCTTCCTGGGTGCCCAAGCCCGTCCACCTGCGCCCACACCTGCTGCAGCCACTTCAGCCTCCGCGCCTCCTCCTCCTGCTTCCTGCGCACCTCCATCTCCTCCATCTTCTTGGCTGCTGCCTTTTTCTTGGCCTTCTCCTCTGCCAGTCGCTCCTCCTTGGCCTGCAGAGCCCACCCACATGTGCTCATGAGAGCCGCCCTCCTCCCTCAGTACCACCGGGTGGGCTCCAGAGCTGGGACAGGTACCCCATTCCCCCGCAAACCCAGCCCTGCTCAGGAGCATGAGCCCACCCACTGGCAGAGGGCTGCTGCTTGGTCCACAGCAGAGACCGTCCACCCTCAGCTGGGCTCAGAACCAACTGCAGGACCCCTGAATGGACAGGAGAGGGGCCCCGGGTGTCAAACCCATAACTTCCTGAGGGATACAGTCCTCACCCTCGGGCCACCAAGTGTCAGCGGCTTGGGGCCCAGCAGGGAACAGCCCCTGAAACCTGGCTGCCCACCAGCCCCCGGCTCGCACCTTCTCACTCTTCTCATCCAGCTGAGCAAACTTCTGCTCGATCTGCTTCTTCTTCTCCTCCTTCATCTGCTCCACCCGCTCCCGGGCCTGCATCACCTTGCGGAGGCGCTCCTCGCGCTTCCTGTGAGCACAAGGCGATCAGGGGGAGCCTGCGGCAGTCTGGGGTGACCCGGGGCTGGAGGCTGGGCCACTTACAGCTTCACCTCCTCCAGCCGCCGCCGCTTGTCCTCCTCTACCTTCTGCCTGCGCAGCTGCTCTGCCTCCTCCTTCCGCCGCAGGTTCTCCAGGCGCTGCCGCTCCTTCTCCTGGGTGGGAGTGGGGAGTGAGCAGGGACAGCCCAGTGCCGGGCCAGGGGCATGGCTGGCCCCACACGGTCCACCAGGCCCACAGCCTTCAGCCAGATGGCCAGCAACATCAGACTGCTTCTTGGGGCAGAGTCACCCCCAAAGACCCTCCATTCCCACCCTGATTGAGGACTGGGCCTTCCATCTTTCTTCTCCGGGGACCCTAAGGCCTCCCAAGGGCCTGCATCACAAATGTCCTCAACTCAGCCCTGCCCAATGTGGGCAGGACAAACGCTAGCTTCCCAACTGGACAGACGCTCCCATGATGACTGCGTACACACGCATTTGAAAGGAGAATAAAGAACAAGAATGGGAATTTATTGCTACGCTTCATGACTTTCTTACTCTGTGTGTGAGAGTAACGAGCAGTCACAAACATTCTTAAGACGACTGGAAAAATGGAAAACCTCACAAAGTAAAGGTTCTAAAGAACAAAGTAGAAATTTTAGAATGAAAAATACAATAACTGAAATAAATTCAGAGGACGAGTCCAAGAGATGGTGGAGAAGACAGACGTCGGTAACACATGAAGATAAACTAGTAACATGTACCCAGTCTAAACACAGAGAAAAGACACTGAAGAGAAATTAATAGCACCTGAGGCAATTGTGAGATGACACCAAGGCCTGTCATTTGTGCCATTGTCACCCCACAGTGGGAAGAGTGCAATGCAGGGCAAAAACTGTGGGAAAATAATGGCTCAGAAATACTCCAAATTTGCTAAAAAATATAAATTTACAGATTCAAGGTCATCAGAACCCAAACAGTATGAACCTAAGGAAACCCATGCCCGACCACATCATAATCACACTGTTGAAAACTTAATACAAAGGGGAAAGTCCTCAGAAGCAGCCACGGAAAGAGACACATTACCTAGGGGTTCGGGGGGGAGTGGAACAACGACTTGAAGGACCAAAAACCTCTCACCAGAAACTGTGGAGCCAAAAGAAAGTGTCAAGTGCTGAGAGGAAAGAGCTGTTAACCCAGAACTCTATCTGCACCAGTGAGGACGGCCCTCGGAAACGAGACGCAGTGGTTTTCTCAAACGAAGAGGAACGACAGACTGTGTTGCCAGCGGACTCCTTCCCAAACAGTTGCTACAGGAAGTTCTTCGGACAAAAAGAAAGTGTACCGGGACAAGCGAAACATCAAAAATGAAAGAACAGAAATGACAAATGTCTGGGTAAGTATCAATAGACTCTTCTCTCGAGTTCTTCACCATGTTCGACAGTGGAAAGCAAAAATTGCAACACTGTCTGACGAGGTAGCCAAAATACGAAGATGCCGCGTGTGAGGTGGGGGTAGCGCACGGGGGGGGGGGGGGGGGGGGGGGGGGTCCCCATCGCGACCGAAGCGACACCCATTCCACAACAGTTGTGAAAGTCCAGCATGTGATGCCTAGAGGGACCCACAGAAGAACTGCGAGATGCAAGAGTCAAAGTGACAATGAAAAAATTAAAATGGAATACTAAAATGTTCAACTGAACACTTACAAAGTATAGATTTTGCTGTATAATTTTCAACATAAACTTCACTGTAGTCTTTTAACATAAAAGTGATTTGTTTTTTTAAGACAGAAAGAAATAAAAGAAAAGAGAGATGGCCAGGAGCCATAGGGGCAGAGCTGAGTGCAGGAAGGACCTGGGGGACGCTGGCCTTCGGGAAGCTCCCATGGCGGGAGGAGGTGGTCTTTGGCCTGCTCCCGCTCCCCGACAGCCCAGACCCCAAGAGGACCAGCAGGAGGCTGGGCCTCCACCCACTACACCCACCTGCTCTTCTGTGAGAAAAGCACCGTGGAAGAGAAAGCCAAGTGGCCCAGAGGGCACCCACCACCATGTCTTCCTGCCCCAAGGACCCAACAGACTCCTGCTTTCAACAGGGCTTGGCAAAACAGGTTTTCGGCCCCCAACTTGAGTGCTGAACTTCCCCAGCACAGGTCAGAGAACTGACCCTGCTGCACTGCGAATTTCATAGAACATAAGAACTATCTGTGCCACAGAACGTGCTTCCTCTTTGCCACAACCAGTAAAGGCGGCTGGCTTGTCCCTGCACCCCAGAGGCTACCGTCAAGGCCAACGCAGAAGGTGGGACGAACCCAAAGCTTGTGCAGCCCTTTCTGCCTCCAGGGGCTTCACCCAGCAGTCTCCCTGTGCGCGAAGCCCCATGCTGGATGCTTGAAACCCTTACTCTCTGGTTCATCCCATCTGTATGAGGGGCCCAGGAAACACATGCCCAAGGGTTAGGAAACCAGTCCAAGGTCCCAAGGCCCATATGACCTACCAAGGCTCCCTGAGGACTGTCTTACCCACCCCTCAAAAATGCCCTGGGCAGGGACCTGGGCTCCCTAAAGCAGGAAAAGGATGGACCTGTCAGTCATCCCCATAAGCCCTGCCCGGCTCCGACCTGTCTCAATGGGGCACAGGAGTTCCCTGTAGGGTGAAAAAATCTGAGTATGATTCACAGCTGTGGGCCCAGATGCCTAGCAGGCGCCTGGCAGAAAAACAAGCACATAAGGCTTCCCAGCCTACTGACTGGCATGTTGGAAGGTAAGCCGTTGCCGTGGCCACCCAGAGGGGACCAGCCTCCTTGCAGAGAGGCAAGTTCAGGTCCCACCTGACTGTTGCTGGGAAGCCCTTGATCTGCCAGGCCCCGGGGCAGTGCTGCCGAGGCCTTCCGCCTCCCGGTGGAGGCAGAAACCATCCTGTAGGCCCTCAGAGCACCAGGGAGAACTTGAGGAATGAAGCAGCTGCAGCCTTGCAACTCAGGAGCCCCCAGAGAGCCAGGACCACAGGCCCAGCAGATCCCGGCTCTCTGTGGCTCCTTGCTCATGGCTGGCGGTCCAGCTTAGCTCTGAGGTGTCTGAGAAGAGGACAGCTTCTGTGGCCTCCCTTCTAGAGGCCACTGCTGACAGTCCACCCTCAGTCACCTGCCTGGCCTTCAACCACCCATTGCTCTGCCCTCCCCTTATGGCGGTAGCTCGGGTGTGTGACCCAGTAAATCCCAGCTTCTGACCTGGGCAAAAGCTACAGGTCACACACCCTTTGCTTCCTTCTAGCTCAGGGAGGCTCCGAGACTCCTGCTGCTAGTAGCAGAAGCAAAGGCAGAGGGGCAGGGAGGAGGCCTGGCCTAGCACAGCCAACGCCTCCAGCTACCACCCAGCGCCTCTGGTCCACCTCCCACCTCCCTCACGGCTCCCGCTCAGTATGTTAGTGCCACTACAGGTGCTGTCAGTTCTGCAAGGGTGGCTACAGCAGCTAAGTGCCAGGTGGAGCAAGGTTACAAGGACAGAAAAAGGTTTTACTTACAACGAAGCTGCACTGTGGAGGAGAGGAGACAAGGAAGAAGCCAAGAGTTAATGCAAGGCCAGGGGATGCCCTAGAAAGCTGGCCAGGTTCCCACTGTGCCAGCAAGTCTGCGCCCTCATCTCACCCAGCCCTCATCCCTAATGAGAGAGAGCGTCACAGGTGTGTCCCTCACCTTAACGCTCAAGGTGCTGGGGGTGTGGGGCAAGTGGACAGGGTCAGAGCCTGCTAGGCCACTTCTTCAACTGCATGGACCTGGGGCCAAGACCCAGGGGTCACGCTGAGTGGGCTAAGCCTCTAGGCCATAACACAGAGCCCAAGAGGTCAGGACAGACCCCAGATGTCGAGGCAGCCTGTGGCCGGAGAGGCCTGAGCTGGCCTTTGACCAGTGCCAGGTCACACCTGCCTGGGCCCAGATGCATGCTGCTCTCAGCAGCCCTGGGGACCTCCGGGAGCCTCCAGCCATGCTGCCCAACCTTAGCCAAGCTCAGCCTGGGGCATGGGCTCCCTCACCTTGGGGTCCATGCGCAGGGGAGTGTTGCGCTTAATGAAGGACTTCATGACACTGCTGCGGGAGGCCGAGGTCGGGGTCATGAGCATCTGGTTCCTCTGCACAGTGTGCAGGAAAGTCCGCAGAGGCCGTACCACCTGCAGGCGGGGAACAGGGTCAGGGCCACGGGCAGGGCAGAGGCACCAAGGGAGGGCAGGTGCCTGCTCACCTTGCTGGCTGGACAGGGCGGAGAAGGGGTCTTGTTCCGGGGGGGCTGCAGCTCCTCATCCTCCAGGGGCTGCTCTTCGTCTTCCAGCTCACTCACGGCCTTCTTGTAGCTGCGCTTCCTCCTGCAGGAGCGCAGGGGGCAGTAGCGTCAAGGGGCTGCCCCAGGGAGCCCCCTCTAGAGTCTGAGCCACACCCCATGAAAGGGCACCCCTATGAGGAAAACTGGGACCAGAGCACGGGCCTCACTGCTAGAGAGGTGGGGTCTCCCTGACTGAGAAAGGGAAGGGACCAGCCTGAGGCCATGTGACCGGGAGGACACAAAAGGATGGGGTCCAGGATCTGGTCACTCACTCCCAGGCCAGGCTCACCCTGCAGCATCATGCTGCCTCCTTCATTATGCCAGAGCACCAGGCCCCACTCCTGTTGGGAGGAAAAGGAGGCCCCTGACCACCCTCCCCAAGAGAGGACTGGAGTTGCATGTCCCTCTGGGCCCTTTGGCATAGTGGCTTACACACCTCTTCCCAAACACAAACCTGACACTCTGGGGTGGCTCCTTGGGGTCATCCGCTGGACCAGTTCTGGCCTCTGTGAAGACAGCCATTTCAGTGAGGGCACAGGCAGCAGGGGACGGTGCCCCCTGGTGGCAGCTGTGGCAGAGGCAAGTGTGGCGAAGCAAGGCTCTCCTCTGAGCAGATCCCAAGTGGCCAGAGGCAGAAACATCAGCCTTAGCACCGACTGGCCTTGGCAGATCTGTGGCCATGCCGAGTCCAGCATGCACCCCCAGCACACGGACCTCTTACCCCCACGCCTCTGTGACAAGAACTGCAGGACAGTCCCAAGGGGGCCCTAACCATGACCTAGTCACCGCTAAGAGAAAGGCAGGGGAGTGTGTGTGTGGTGGGGGAGGGACATCTTTCAGGAGTGGAAGTCTATGGAACAAACCCCTTGACCAGCTTTGAAATCCAACCCCTCCTGACCCTTTCGGCTGGAGCCCATGGGATGGGATGGGGGGCGGGGGAAGAAGGGCAGCATTGCAGGGGCTCCTCGGCAGGGTCCACATGGGGGTACAGGACCAGTACATTTTGTTTCACTGCCAGGAGAAAATACTAATCTCTCCCCTGCCCTCTGACACCCTTCATTCTACAGGGTCCTTATTCCAAGGGACTACGGGGCTGGCAGGGCCAATGTCCCTGACCTGTGTTCAGAGGGGACGCTGTGCTCAAGACTTAACAACTACAGTGCTCTTCCCACCAGGGGGACGGGAGCTGGACCCCAGGGCGCCTCTGGCAGACTGGGGGTGCTGGAGCCCAGAACCTGCAGCTCTCCCACTCTCTGCAGACAGGAGACCCACAAAGGTAAGAAAGAGCCAGTGACCAAGGACAAAGCAAGACCCCAACACACAGCTCCTCCTGCTGCCCCCTCAAGTGGAGCTCAAGGCCATGCACCAGTTCCAGACCTTCCCTCCACCTCTCCTTGTTCCCTGCACCAGCCAGCCATGGCCACTCACACAGGCACTTGGCAGCAGCTCCAGCCAAAGGCAGGAGATGAAACCTGCAGACTCAAAGGAGACCTACACACCATGGGTCTCATTTACTTTCATCCTGTCAGCCTGGAAAATGCGATTCCTTCTCCCTAGAGAAAGTCAGGGCGAACCACCAAGGCCCGTGTGACTCTGGGCATCTGCATACGCCAGGTCAGGAACGCTCACCTTGCTGCCCTACGGAGGGCGTTTCCTGGCCACCAGCCACGGGCTGTAAGTGAGGTGTGCTAATGGCAACCTTGTTGGCACCGTGGGGCGACAATGTACTTCCTTCATTCTTGGGGACCTGGGCAAAGAACCGAGACTTTAGGGCTCTGGACCTGGGACTCAGCACAGAGCACAAGCCCCAAGGTCCTCCAGCCCTGCCCTCCCTGGCCTGCCGCCTTACCTCCGGCTTGGCCTCCTCCACAGGCTCGGCCTCCTTGCTGGGGTCCTCCTTAGTGCTGAAAGCAGAGCAGAAGATGCCATGGGACCCACCGAACCTAAATCGTCCCCATAGGAGCTCCACCCCCAACCCTGGCCTAGGTTGCAAACCCGCAGCCCCAGACAGGACAACAGCCAGAGCAAGTGGCTCCCTGGAGCGTCTGCTCCCTGGGTCACTGAGAAATGTCCTCTTCTGAATTTGGCTTCATCTCACCCCCATCAAGGCCTCAATTCAGGATATGAGCCCTTTCCCAGCTCTCCCTCAACCCCTTGGCCTAGACGGGCCACGGCTCTTTTGAGACCTGCTCCCGTTCACCATGGGGCCAGCAAAGCCAGCAGCTCTGCCCAGTCACCCCGTGTCGCCATCCCAAGCACTGACTCTTGCAAAGCAAGGGTCTGGACTGTAGGCCAGGGAGCGCTGGCCCAGAGCAGTGCTGGGGTGTGCTCCCAGAGCAGGGAGCAGCCAAAGCCCTATGCCGTCCCCGTTCTACCCACCCAGATTTGAATATGGCTCCTCGTGGCTGCCCTGGCTCGTCCCCAGGCCTTTGATCTGACAGCATATGGACCCCATGTCCCAGGATAGGCCGGGGCAGGTAGGTGACACTGACAAGCGATGTAGGGAGACTTAACACTGTGCCACTTGCTGCCTGGTTAGACTGGGGCGGGGGCAGGGCTGCCTCAGTGGGCAGTCCCTGCAGGAGGGAAATGCTTCCATTCTGGGGGCACACCTGGACCACTTGACCCCAGTGTGTCCTGCCCAACCCTGGGAAGGTCCCCAAGCCCTGGAACTGAACTCACCTGACTTTCTGGGGCACCTCAACATTCAGGAGCCTCTCCAGGTAACTGTGACCTGGGGGAGAAACAAAGGAACAAAAGATAAGCTGGGAAACTGGCCAGGGGCCACTCAAAGGGGCCCTGGGAACCAGGCTGGTGGGGGCTTGGCCGCTTCTAGTCTGAAGGCAGACCCTCTCAGAGACCCCTTCCTCCACCAGACAGACCCTCTCCACACAGGACAGAAATGTCCAGTTCCACTTAAGAATGTCTGTGATGCAAGTAGAGACTAACCACTTTCTTAAATTTAAGCTGAAGTGTGTATCTTTCTAAGGCTGCGTGATGAGACAGGAAGCAGGAGGGATGCCCAGGTCTCTGTGAAAAGCACTGCCGTGGGAGTTCCCAGCTGAACTAGCCGCTCTCCTCACGGAACACCTTTTAACTGAAGGAACAACCGACAAGCCGTGGTTATTCAAGCTTGGGTATTTGGCAGACATTTTCTTAAAAATGAACAAGGTGACACAATCACTTGAAAAAAGCAACAGTATTTGTGGCCAACAATAAACAATGGAGCCCTGGCCAGCGTGGCTCAGTTGGTTGGGCATTGTCCCACAAACTGAAAGGTCACCAGTTCGATTCCCAGTGGGGGCATTAGCCTGGTTTGCAGGCTCTGAGCTCTGCCCCCAGTCAGGGTGCTGCCAAGGCAGCCAATCAATGTTTCTCACATCGATGTTTCTCTCCCTCTCTTTCCCCCTCCCCTCTCTCTAAAGTAAAGTGAAAACATTAAAAATAAGTAATTGGGTGGAGGGGGTGCCAAAAATAGAATTTTGGAACACAGGTACCCACCACCATGAACTTCATAGCTTCCTAACCCCTAAAGATTTTTCTGATGAGACCAGAACTGCCTCCCTCCTTACCCTCTTCCTCCCTCCCACCTCGGGGTGCAGAGAAGTCAGACAGGCCTGGCTCAGGCCTGCAAGTCGAATGACAGGGCTGAAGGGGAGAAGCCCCGAAACGGCTTCAGTGCCGGGAATCTGGATTCAGATCCCAAAGCAAGAGGGGTCTCTAGAGCCTCTCCTACCCTCCCTCTGGAGCACCAGGCTCGCCTGCCCCTGGGGCCTCTTCCCAGGGCTAGAGCCAGGCCTGAGGAAATCTCCAAGGCAGGTCAGAACAACCTGGGTCCTCCTGAAGATCTAAAAACAGACAGTGGGTCAGACCACGCATGTACATCTGCCCCAGATTTAGTATGCTGAGCCCCAGGGCCCAAAGCAAGCCCACCCCCCCAAGTGGGGAAGGGAAGAAACCCAGCAAGGTGAGGTGCCCTCACCTGCCTGCCTGAGCCTCACCCCGGGGCTCACCACCAGGTGTCCTCAGCAAGTGGCTGCAGGACTGGAAGAGACTAAACACGTGGGCTCAATCCCCAGCCTCTCAGTTCATAGACTCAGCAACTGCACTACACCTCAGTCTCTCCCTCTGTGAAGTGGGGAAACCCTAACAGGCTAACAGATGCTGCAGGGACCAAATGAGATGACCTTGAGTGTTATAAGTCTTCAAGTGCTGGGCAGGTATCGACCATAATTTTAATGCACATTAATGTAAAACCTGGCCATCTCCTCCATCAGTCCCACTCCCCCTCTGTACTCTGGCTGGACCCTTATAGAAGCCTCCTACCTGGTCTCCCTGCCTCCTTCTCTCCCTCCGTCTTAGTCAGCTTTTGTACAGTGCCAGGAAGCTCCCAACAGCCATCAAGGGCCACACACCCCCCATTAAAGGGATCGGGCCCAAGCCCCTGTGTGGCCCATGAGCCCCAGACACCCCAGCACTTGCCATCTCATGCCTCAGGGTTTTCCCACCAGCTGTTCCCCCTGCCAGGGATACTGTCCCCCACATTTCCTCCAGGAAGCCGGCCCTGACTTACAGCTGCCTGTCCTCCTCCGCAGCTCCCACAGGGACAACGCTCTTCTGAATTGGAGTCCGATGGTGACAGAACAGCTAACATTACAGAGCCCTCTGTACATGGCAAACACCGTTCTTAACGCCCAGTGTGGGTTAACTGAAGAGAAAACAACCTTTTTGGACAATGCTATTGTCACTCCAGTTGACAGATGAGGAACTGAGGCCCATGAAGGAAGTTCCTGTAACCTGCCCAAGGTTGCCGGCGGGAGGGTGACTGGCTGAGCTGCCACTCAAACCCAGTTACCTGCCCTTCCAGGAGGAGGTGGCTGTGACCAGCATCCACATCCCCGCTCCTCTGTGCTCCACACTAAGCAGCTCCACCGCCAGGAGCGGCCCGCAAAGGTGGTGAACCTAAGGGAGCCGCTACAGGAGGGAAGGAGGCACGCTGCCCTGGGGAAAAGGCCCAGGTCTCAGCCTGGGGAAGGCACGTACCATAGGGACCTCGATTTTCTCACCTAAAAAACAACAGGGCTGGCCGAGACCTGCACTGTCCACTACAGTTAACACTCGCTAAGTGTGGCTACTTAAATCTAAATTAAGCGAAATGTAATCAAAGAAAAAATTCAGTTCCTCAATCACACCAGCTGCATTTTGTGGCTAGCAGATGTGGGACATTTACATCATCACCGAAAGCTCCATGGACAGCTCCTTGTAGAGTATTAGATCGTGACCCAGAGCCCCTCCGGCCAAACTGGGCACCCAGGGTCCCCCACAGCATCCCACCCGCCACCGTTGAGCCCCCAGACTCACAGATGATGCGGGCAGAGGCAGCTGGCTCTTTGGTGGCCTTCTTGGCGATTCTTCTGCTTGACCTGCGATTGGCGCTCTCTGGTTTTACAACCAGGGAGTGTGTTTGGGCCAGAGCATTCTGCGGATCCGGGGAGGCCGGGGCAAGCAGGCTGCGCCGCACTGACTGCCGGTCCACACGGGAGCCCACAGATGTGGAGAAGTTATCCGGCAGGATGGGAGCCAGCACCCGCTGCTGCCACGGGGAGGCTGGAGAGGCAGGTGAGTCCGGGGGGCCTGGGGAGGTCCGTGCAATCCTAAGCTTAGAGGCGGACCGGCCTGCTTTGAGCCCTTGGCCCTTGGGATCCTGGGGCGTAGCCATCAGAGAGCTCACGGCAACAGACTCCAGTCTCCCAGCCTCTGACTTCTTGGGTGTCGATTCCTCGTCTGATATCACAGTGACCAGAGATGCTGGAGCTGCGGCTGCAGCCAGAGCTGGGGACGGAGCCTGGGCAGAACTGAGCTGGCTGAGGCGCTCATCAGCAGTGCAGCGCTCGCCGGCACCTATCTCCACCACGGGCACCAGCTGGCCCTGGGTGACACTATTCTTGGGCTTCCTGGTCAGCACTGTGGGAGACTCTGGGGTGGGCGAAGCAGCAGCCCTGGTGGCTGCCGCAGCTGCAGCCGCAGCCGCAGCACGGGTCACCCGCCGTGGGACAGAGCCATTCTCCCCTGCCACAACAGCCAGTTGTTCCACCTTGTCCTTGCTGCGCAGGCGCCGGGAGCTCAGCTGGCTGCTCCGAGTCTTTCTGCGGGACAACCTGCCAAAGACAGCAGAGCAGAAGCTGAGCGGACTCAGCAGGGCAGGGAGGCACCCCAAAATTTGAGCAGGGGTACCAGTTTCCCCAGCAGCCACCAACTCAGGTACAATATAAAGTGGAGGGCTTGGAGCAGAAGACCAGGGCTCTAGAGTTCAGGCTCCGCCACCCCTACCATGAGACCCCGGCTGCTCCTCTCCGAGCCTTTCTCTTCCCCCCTGCACACTGTGGCTAATGCCAGGCCTCACCGAACTGCCGGGAAGAACACAGTCACAGAAACTTCCTGCTAGCTGAGCTCACGCTGTGCCGAGCACCCTGGACAGGCTTTGCTCACGTTATCACTTAACCCACAAGCTGGCCCTGAGAAGCGGGGAGTGTTTTCACTTTATTCGTTGTATTTTTTAAAAGATTTTACTTGTTAATTTTTGGAGAGAGGGACAGGTGGGGAGAAGAGAGAAACAGAAATATCTATCAGTTGCCTCTCACCGGTGCTCTGACCAGGGACCTGGCCTGCAACTCGAGCTCATGCCCCAACTGGGAATCAAACCAGCAACCCTTCAGTTTGTGAGACGACATGCAAGCCACTGAGCCACACCAGTCAGGGCCAGGACCATTCTCACTTTAGCTTTAAAGGAACTGAGGCTCAGAGAGGTAGAAAATTAACAAAAGGGCATACAGCTAGTAAGGAGCAGCGCTGGGGTCTGTGCGCAGGACCTCCTGACTCCAAGACCCAGCCTTCTTTGCTCATGGTCTGCAGCCCAGTCATGTCCATGAGCATCTTAACAAGCAGAGCACAGGGGCTGAGCAATGGACCCCTAGTCCACAACTCTGGGGGTTCTCACCCAAGCACAAGGTTGGATTCTTTCTCTTCCCACCTCTGGAAACCCTTCCCAGCCTCGAGGCCCAGATCAAACACCTGTATTGACACACATATGCACACACGCTCTGGACCCCACAGTCCTAGGTCACACTTTGTTTCCTGCGACATTTTGCCCCTCCCCACAGCCCCCAAGGCACCACTGCCATTCCTGCAGGCCTCTGCTCCCAGTTCACTCTGGAATCACACTCCCCGGTAGGCACCAAGTCCCCAGACCCTGCCTGCAGGCCCCCGGCTCTCCCACCTTTTCCGGATGGGGTCTCTGTTTTCATCCTGAACATAAGAAATTCGCTTCTTCTTCCGTCGGTTCTTCTGAGAGGGTGTTTTGGGCATTAGCTCAGGCTCTTTGCTGAATTCTCTGTTCGATACAAGAAGGGTGATATTTGTGGCTGCCTGGGAACCACTGGCCCCCTCCTCCACCCGGCCCAGCCCCTGCCCATTTCCTGGCAGTGACAGGCCAAGCTGGGGTGAGTAGCATCAAAAGAGTGCTCCAAGGCCATGTGCAAGTCCCCTGCGAGGCCTTTGTGGCTTCCTCCCAGGGTCGAGGCAGGGAGCAAGTCTGCCAGGCAAGCGTGCGCGGCCCCCTCCTCTGAGTCCCAGCCCAACACCTCTCCTTCTTCTTCCTGTCATACTGTGCTGGGCCCCTAGCACACGGGGCACTCAGGAGAAACCCCAGCAGCCTGTCTGTCTTGTCTGTCCAGTGAGGAAGTGGCCACTATGTCTCCAAGGTGGTAGCAGCCAGGCAGCCCCTAGGCAGCCCCTGGCACCTCCTGCCGCACGCCCCTGTCCTCACCTGGTGAACATGCGCTTGGCCTCCTCCTCGATCTCCTCCAGCCACACCATGTCCTTATTGTCCACGTTGCAGACAAACTCCAAGAGCTTCTGGTCACAAAGCTCCAGCAGGTGAATGTGCCCTGGGGCTGTCGTCCCCATGGTGGCTCTATCTGATGAAAAACAAAGGCAAGAGGCACTGGGGCTCAGCGCTGGGGACTGAGCCCCCCCCCCCCCCCAGGGGAAGAGCCTACTAGGCCACAGCCCCCACCCCCCAATCACCACAAGACACCAAGTGCCTGGATCAGGGCCCCTCCCTACTCACAGCCATTCCTCAGAGACACAGAATTCCAAACGCCAATCCATTTGTCTCATTTTTGCCAAAAGAAGGACCGTCCCACTTACACTCTTCAAAGGCTTTACCTCTACCCAACCCACAGCACTGTGTCCCCACACCTCCAAGGCGATCCTGCTATCAACAGTCCTCCTTACCAATGTGCTTGGTGGGGGAGGGTTGAAAATGACAAGGCATGGCCAACTGCCTTCCTAGGTCAGGGAGAGACCAGGACCACCAAAGGACCCCTGTCTACCTGCCCAGACACAGCCCTGCTCTTCCTCCCAGTGGGTGAGCAAAGACTTAGACACAGCCAGCCCGAGCTACAAGTGAGCTGACCCCCAGGCCTCAGGCCAAAGAACATCGAATCCAACTGCCTCTCCAAGAAGCCAGTGAATGGAAGAGGTTCTGCATTCCAAAGGAGTTGGTAAGAAAGTAGGGGCAGAGACTTCTCCTCTCCAAAAGGCCCATGACCCTAGAGCTGAAATTGTCCTAGAAATGGATGAAGAAGCATCAAGGGAGCAGATAAGCAATGTCTTATTTTTAAGAAAATTTGTGTAGAAATATTAGACGGGGGGAAATACAACATCGGTTTTGTTTTGATTTCTCAAAAACTAGCAGCACAGGTATCCTCCTTAAGACTGGATTATATTGTCACCACTGAAGTCCCAGGCAAGGAGGAAGTGTTCCATGCAGTCATAGGGAGCAGGGGCTCAGTAAAATATTCCAACTGTGTGAATGACAGAAAGAATAAGTGAAGGGGTGATGGTCATAGGTAACAGACTACATGTCTCATGACATGGCAATGAGCCAGCACCCCAACCTGTACCTTCAAAACCAAGAACCATGCAAAGCTCAGCCTCCCGCCTAGAAGGAGGGGCTAGGCAGGTCACCCCTTAACACCTGACAGAGTGTGACACCAGGTCAGGCGGCAGCCTCGTGGTATCTGCTTTCCAGGGCACACAGCCTTTGTTTCTCAGACAAGCTCTGCCCTCTGTTTGGAACCTTCTGTCTTCTATTTTGTACAGCTCTCTCCTCATTACTTGGATCTCAGCACCTCAGGGAGGATCTGACCACCAGCCACAGCCCCACCCATCAATTTTCAGTTCTCTGCATGGCACTTGGGTGACTGTGTATCTGTTTGCTTATTGCCTGCCTCTGCCCACTAAACATTAGGGGGCAAGCCCCTGTCTTTCTTGCTAATCACTGAAAGCTCAGAGCCCAGCACAGTGCCCAGCATGAAAGAAACACTTGTTGAACGAATTAATCCACCCATCAACTCTACACCATAAAATAAACATCCTACAGGTTTTCTTCCCACCCACCCCACCCTGCACAGGGACACCAAATAAGTCCATTCTACACAGGTTAGGGCACGCCATACTCATCCGAAGCTTCTGCTCCTAAATGCCGAGAGCAGCACTAATCAGGGGAGGGCCAAACGGGCAGGATTGCAGAAGCTTTGCAGAAACAGCTCTGCAGCCAGCCAGTCACGGGCATGGCCTCTCCACCGCCATCCCTCTGGCTCTCTCCAGCCCCTCTGCTCCAGAGCTCAGCCCCAGCTAAGTGCAAAATCCCAGTTCTAGGCCAGGGGAGAGAAAATCATTTAAGGAAGCCAAAACCAAAACAAAGGTTTGCAGAAAAACAACCAACTAGCTTTTCTTTTTCCTTTAAGTATTTGTTCAAAGTGGCAAAGTAGGTGACAGCTCCCTTCACGGAGTGCAAAAAAGTTTGGGGTCCTTCCCCAGGGAAGTTTGTTTATAACCCCAACTTTAAAAAAGGGTCACCATAAGTTAGAACCAAGGCGATCCCGAGAAAGGAGGAATCAGTGTATGAATGAGGCTCTTGGGAAGAGCAGCAGAAACATCTTCAGCCTGTGTCAAAACCTGTGCACAAACCCAGAGCACCCAACAACCCACCGGGAGAGAACAGAGGTCATCTTTCTCTCCCAATACTTTGAATACCAGACTAGAGGCCCCACTGCTCTCTTTCACAACGCCTGTTCTTTTGAGGGTGTGGGAAGTTGGGGACCTCACCCTCTACCACCCTTCAGTGACGAATGATCATAATAGCGGCTCCATTTACGGGAGTCCTGCTCCAGGCCCAGGTCAGGCACTATGTCATTGAATTCTCACCTCAACCTCAAGGATACCCATGTGTGGATGAAGAAACCGAAGCTAAGAGTAGTTAACACAACCACCCTGGGGCCTGGATTTAGAGTGTGCCGGATTTAAAGTGTGCTGGATTTAAAGTCTTAAACAAGCTGTGCCGCCTACATGATTTCAGCCTCTGAAAGGCAGGCGTCAGGTTTGGGCTCTGGGCACCCCCAAAGAAGGCCACGGTGGCTGGACGGGACTGAACCGCTGACAGCGAAGGTGCCTGGGGTGTGACAAGGGCGGCATTGGCATCCGGAAATGGTTAGTTTAAAATGTTGCTCAGCTGGAGGCGGAAGTGTTGAGCGAAGGTTAACTGTACAGAAATGCCATCTGGCATGACTCCATCACACAACCCGGTCCGTGTGCGCTTGCTCTGCGTCCAAGTCAACAAACGGCCTCGCGGGCTCACAACAAGGGTGGTAGGCACTGGGAGGTTACTTTCTCGGAACCTGGTGACCTACGTGGAAGGTGGGGGGGTTATCTCAGGCCCCAGGACCAAGGAAGGTCACTTCACCATGTTAAAGAGGTGACCCATCCATTCCCGGGCGGACAGGGGACAGAGGGTCACACCCCCAGCCCGAAGTAGGAAGGAGGGCTTACAAATCGCTAGCCACCCCACACCCCCGCCGGCCACCCACGCGCACTCACTCGGTTGCACCACGTCTACTAAGCGCTGCTCCGATCCAAGTCCGGCGGCCTCCCTAGAAGAGCCCCCTGCCCTCCCAGACCCTCAGCTCCCGAACTCTGACGCTCACGGTTACTGGGAAGCAGTGGGGCCAGGTAGCGCGGGCCAAACCTACGATTTTCAAAACTGAAGGCTAGACCAATCCCTTACAACTTTGTCTGGGCGGCTGCGAAACTCTAAGCCAATCATATAAAAGAAAGTGCCCTTCAGGCTACCTATTGGCTACATGGATTAGCAGTCTACGGGACTAATAGGCAGGGAAAGGAAGCGTTGAAACTTTAACAAGTTCAGCTTCCGGGAGCCCGGATCTGCACCCTAAAGAGGAAGTCGCCCCTTGGAGGGGCTATGCGTGCGCAGGACCTCACACGCCGGAACTACAGGCCCCAGAGTGCACTGCGAAGGCCCTGCGGTGCGTGGGAGGTTTTACGTTGCCGTTTCATCATCCACAGTTGTCTCCTTTGCACGATAACGTACTTCCGACCTCTGTCACTTTTAAGAAGTACAAAAAAAAAAAAAAAAAAAAAGGCTTTCTGAGTTTGTGTAAAGTCCTCCGTCACCTCTGGGGCAGCAGCAATCCGAATCCCACCTATAATGGCTCCGAGAGTCTCTTTGAAGTAGTGGTTCTCTGTTGGGGCGATTTTATGCCCGCGCCACCCCCACCCCATATTTGGCAATGCAAAAATACGTCCTGTTGAGGGGAGGGAGTTGGTACTGGCATTTAGTGGGTGAGGCCAGCCAAGCTGCTGAATACCCACCCTTCTGTGCATAGTGCAGCCCGCAAGGTAAAGAATTACCGGGCTCAAAATGCCAGTATCACTGCTGTTGAGAAACTGCTTCAGATAGTAACTTGATGAGTCAGGATTGTTATCACGTGTCAAAGCAGTTAAATCTGGAAAAGTCATTTGGACACCTATGTTCATTGCAGCATTATTTGTGATAGCCAAGAGGTCGAAGCAAAGGTCCATCAATAGGTGAATGGGGAAAGAAAAAGTCATTTTTTAATCAAACTATTTGGGTTTCATTGTCGTCACTGAGGTGTAGGGTTTATTTATACCAGGTTCCTATGAAAATAATACAATAATAATTAATAATACAAGAATAAATTCTGTTTTGAATACAACTGTAAACCTACTTTTGGCCCACCCTATATATATTTTGGATATTGACCCCTTATCGAATAGGTTTGCAATTATTTTCTCCCATTCTGTAGATTCCGTTTTTCACTCTGTTGATTCTTTGCTGTGCAGAAGTTCTGAAGTTGGTTGTGTAGTCCTGTTTGCTTATTTTTATTTTGTTACCTGTACTCCTAGTGCCATAGCTAAGAAATCATTGCCATGACCTACACGAAGGAGCTTTCCCCCTATGTTTTCTTTTAGGAGTTTTAGTTTCAGGTTTTATATGTAAGTCTTTAATCCATTTTGAGTTAATTTTTGTGAGTGGTGTAAGAAGACAGATACCCAGTTTTCCCAACACCACTGATTAAAAAGACTGTCCTTTCCCCATTGTTTATTGTTGGTACCCCCATCAAAGATTAGTTGACTGTATATACATAGGTTTAATTCTGGGCTCTCTATTCTGTTCCATTGGTCCATATGTCTGTTTTTATGACAGTGCCATGCTTTTGAATTACTGTGGCCTTGTAATATATTTGGAATCAGGAAGTATGATGCTTCCAACTTCATTTTTCTTGGGTAAGATTGCTTTGACTATTTGGGGTCTTTTGAGGTTCCATATGAGTTTTAGGGTTCTTTTTCTAGTTCTGTAGAGAATTCCATGAGGATTTAGGTGGGGATTGCGTTGAATCTGAAGATGGCTTAGGGCAGTAAGGACATGTTATCAATATTGTTTTCCAATCCAAGAGCACAGGATGTCTTTCCACTCATTTGTGTCTTCTTTAGTTCTCATCATTAATGTTTATGACTTTTCAGTGTTTAAGTCTTTCACCTCTTTGGTTAAGTTTATTCCTAAGTATTTTATTCTTTTTGTTGCTATTGTGAA